CACAAGACTGTTTTAGAGCCAACACATGTACTAGTTCAACCAACTGTTATAGAGCTAGAACATGTACAGACTCAACCAACTGTTACAATGCTACATCCTGTACCAATTCAACAGGATGTCCCAGACGTTAAGTGTTTTTATTGTAAAAATAATAAAACAATAATATTTATCGAAACTAATCTGTTTACTATACGAATTGCCCTTTTGCCCCCTAAAGCCGATAACTTGTACTAGTAGTAACAAGGTTACCAGACAATAATAATAAACATCTCTGATTTGATCATACTTTAACTAAACTCAAAAATGATAAAGAAAATTCCATAGCACGTCAAATTCTAAAGTTAGGCATTTTAAGATATCATATGTAAGTATGTTCGACAAAATCGCCGAAAAACGAAACTATTAAAATTCATTTTCTCCATTCTCATTTAATTTTTTTCCCCCAAATTTGGATGCCGTTAGTGACGAGCAAAGGGAAAGGTTCTACCAGGATATATTGACGATGGAAAAGAAGTACCAAGGGAGATGGGATCCAGCTATGATGAGGGATTACTGCTGGTTCCTGATAAGGGAAGTTAAAACACTCTACAAAACAAAGTCAGCTTTTGCAAAAAACTCATCTACAACAGATTTATGTTAGAATCTTATACATCTTTCAACATTGTTCTTGTTTAGTGAATAAATTAATTTCTTTCGTCGTCTATTTAATTAATTTCTATTTGAAATGAACAATTTTTACGATAAAATTTGAGAAAATTATTTTCCTGTAACTCGTAATAAGGGATGTTAATGTACCCTGATACACATGTCAATAGATTAATCACATTAAAAAAAATGGTGGGAAGTGTAATTTCTAAACTAACAAGAATTTCATGAGTTTCTCATCGCCAATCGTCCATATAAAAATTGTAACGTTTAAAATTGCGAAGATTTTCTTTATTTTTGGCTTTTTGTCCTTGTACTTACGTTAGAACTTTTTTTTTAAATAATTTTTGTAAATCTTTATTTTATCTATAATCGAGTAAAATGTTTCCTAGGCACAGCTTTAGAGAAACAGCGCAGCTTTTATAATATGAAAAACGTAAGTTGCTGCTGAAATACGTTATAAATTTACGATCGGAAAATATTTATCACATCATATACTATATGCTACATATCTAATAAACATCAAAAGAGTAGATGGCGGTCGGGCCTTATTACCCGAACTTACCTTATTAGCTTTTAAGACAACAACATGCTATGGAAACTACATATTTTGAAAATAAGATGATGAAATAAATACCAAAGCGATTAAAACTTAAGGTATTGCAATAATTCGTAAACAAGATAATAAATTAT